TCTGTAAAATTTTTATACGCCCACATTTTCATGTGGACGTATATTGTCGTCGCCCCTGTCCGCCCGTACGTCCGTCCAAAATTGCTTGTGAACACTCTACAGGTCAGAATTTTTTCCGATTTCGATGAAACTTGAAATATAGGTTTAGCACCCTAAGATCTCGGTTCCTGTCGATATTGGCATGTATCGGACTGTAACGTCAAGGATTATGGCCCCTGATTGTACGAAAAATCACGTTTTTACCTTGTGAATACTGTAGAGGTTACAATTTTTATCCGATTTTGTTTAAACTTGAAATATATATTTATAACCAACAGATCTCGGTATCTGTCGATATTCGCGCATATCGGACCAAAACTTCCGGAATTATGGCCCCTGATCATAGGAAAAATCGCGTTTTTAGCTTGTGGACCCCATAGAGGTAACAATGTTTATCCCATTCAAAAAACCGTGTGAATATATCACCGTTACACCCTAAGAATGATTGAATTCGAATTTCGTAAAAATCGGACAGAAACTGACGTACAAAATGGCCGCTCCTTGTTCGCAAATAGTGTCAAAATATCAGTGTTGTGGACCCTCTGGAGGTCACATTTTTCATCTGATTTTGATGAAACCTGAAATGCATGTTTATAACCCACAGATCTCAGTTCATTTCGATATTCGCGCATATCGGACCAAGACTTCCGGAATTATGGCCCCTGATTGTACGAAAAACCGCGTTTTAGCTTGTGGACCCCATAGAGGTCACAATTTTTATCCGTTTTACAAAACCGTTTGAATATATCACCGTTACACCCTAAGGATGATTGGGTGCGAATTTCGTAAACATCAGACCGAAACTGACGGAGAAAATGGCCGCCCCTCGTTCGCAAATGGTGACAAAGTATTGTGTATCAGGGTTGTGGATCCTCTGGAGGTTACAATTTTCATCTGATTTTGATGGAATTTACAATTCATGTTTATAACACAAATATCTTGGTTCCTGTCTATTTTCGTGCATATCGAATCGTAACTTCCTGAATTATGGCCCCTGATTGTACGAAAAATCGCGTTGTAGCTTGTGGTCCCTCTAGAGGTCACAATTATTATCCGATTTAAAAAAAAAAACGTTTGAATATATCACCGTTACACCGTAATTTTGTCTGAGTTGAGTTTCGTGAAAATCGGACCAAAATTGCCAGACATAATGGCCTCCTCTCGTACCCAAATAGTGTAAACATGGTATATCAAAGTTGGGGACCCTCTAGAGGTCACAATATTTTGATCCGATTTTGTTGAAAGTTGAAATACATGTTTATAACCCAAAGTTCTTGTTTCCTTTCGATATTCGCGCGTATTAGATTTTATATTCCTGAATTATGGCCCTTGAATGTACAAAGAATCGCGTTTTTAGCTTGTGGTCCCTCTAGAGGTCACAATTATTATTCGATTTAAAAAAACGTTCGAATATATCACCGTTACACCGTAACTTCCTGGATTATGGCTCCTAATTGTTCGAAAAATCGCATTTTTAGCATGCGGATTCTTTAGAGGTCACATTTTTTTTCCGATTTTAAAAACCGTTTAAATATATCACCATTCCACCATAGTGAAGGTTGAATTCGAACTTTGTACGCAAATCGTGTAAAAGTATGCTATGAAGGTTGTGGACCCTCTAGAGGTCACAATTTTTATCCGATTTTGATGAAACTTAAAACATATCTTTATATCCCAAAGATCTCATCTCTTTTGATATCTGGGCATTTCAGACCATAACTTTCTGGATTATTGCCCCTGATTGTACAAAAAATCCTGTTTGTTTTTAGCTTGTTCTCTATCCATCTCTTGCAAAATGTGGGTGTATCCTGCGTGGTAGGCGCTGGTCCATAATATCATTCAACTGGTGCCTTCGAAAATCCCCAGTAATTAAGCTTTCTGAAGTATGAAACAATTTTTACGAAATATTGCAAGGTGCAATAGGCTATAGGCCTACAGTTATAATATAGCGACATCCAATGTAGCAGTAGGCTTATTGCAGACGACCCAATCATGAATAAATTGCAAGAGAAGATCCATTCAAATTTAATAGAACCAAAGGGCGTTTCGATAGACCTAGCTTAAATGTCGTCACCGAATCTTAAAACACCGAGCGTATACTAGTATATATAGGGGCCCAGACATAATTACCCTTTTCGCATGGCTACCCAGGTAGCTGCTATATTTTTGTAGACATTCAGCAAGCCCCATGACAGTAGTATGGACAAATTTCCACGCATCCTTCTTGAGATAGAAAACCATTGCCAAATTATAGAGAGCCGAACTGTGGGACTTGATCTGGTCATTTTTAAGGATAGATTCATTCTCTTTGGCTATCACTCGAAAATTCTGTAGCTAGAGAAATAATATATGGCAACTGGGACTGCACATCGTCTGTTTTCAGTGCTTCCTGGTTTGTATATATTTACCAAATAGCACTGTCCAGTGTATTTACAAATGGTAACCTAAGTGGATTGACATAATCTTGTGACTAACCCAGTTTTTTCCAACTATTTCAGGATGTCATTTTTCAGTACATTTTCCTTGGTGATGATTTTCGTGGAAATGAGGAGGTGGACTGGACTGCTTCGACTTTTCAACAGCAGAGGCCACGAGAATATTGAACGCATTCTCATTTTCTTCATTTTAAAAAGTACCATATCAATGAAAGCAGGAATGTGGACGTATATTGTAGCGTTAGTGATGCTCTTATCAATTACTGTATTGATGCAGCCCGCCGCTGTACGTGTATGGTCGATAATATTCCAACTATAAAACAAATAATATGCCAAGTCAAGCCGGATACCGAACCTATCAGTGTCATCAGGCTTCCAGACAAGTGGTACTTGAATTCCTGTGGTACGTGTTGAAGAGTAATACTTCTAGCTAGTTTTGGCCGTGGTGTCTGTAGAACACGCACGTCAAGTATATAATTATTAGTACAAGTTTAGCTTATGTACTGATGTACACATCAGGTGATTATAGTTTGACAAGTTAATATCTTCATATGTTATAACTCATTACATACTGACATCTACATTAATATAACGGTAGACAGATAATGTCTATATATTTAACAGCTGTTACACAGCCCAGTATCACTGAAAGCTTGAAATAATACTGTACTTACTTTATGTCTATATCATATGGATTTAAAAACGCGTACAATTTAACTTATTATCAATTTGAACAAGAAAATCAACGTAATTAATGTTGTCCACTCTTTTGGGGAGTTTTTCGGTCACACATTTTAGACATGATTAGAATGCTTCGGAGTGAGGTAGAATGTTCAATGTTCAATCTTGGTGTAGATGTTCATTGTGGGATGTCGTGAATGTGTTGGACATCAACAAGTTATGCGTAGACAAAGCAGTGATCGGCAATTTGATTTATCAATGGTTTGGAACACGTTAATTATGATTCTAATTGAGTGGGAGTGCTGAAAACTGGTGAACAGTTTCATTACACCAATACAATGTCTGGTCGATACCTTTGATTTTAATATATGTAGAATATTTCTTGTAAATATGCAATGGGTTAATGTATTGACTGGATTCGATGATCAGCATTTTCTTCTTAGGAGAATCAGAAATAAATAATTTTATTTGTCGATGCTTTGGGATACAATTGCAAACTACAGTGCAGCGAAAGTTGAATTCTGAATTAAATTAATATCAGTTCAATGGTTCCATTTGCAAATATATGTTGGGTGAAAATAAATTTGTCAACATTCGCCACCCTCTGCCGACGATATAAATGGAATATGGTCAAAACAACTACCGCCACCTTTTATCAGGCATGTTGATGAGTTAATATAAAACCAATGTATAACTATTTTACACAAATACCAGTATTGTAATACACACCCTTAACAGGTTTTAATAGTTTTCATGTAGCGATGCGGAAAATCTTGACCGGTGAGTTTAGAGAAACACTGATCTATTTTTATACACGTCTAGTATTATTTCCAGTTGTCCTTAAACAATATGTATGGTGTACTATTTCGGCCAATCTGTTAACCATGAAAACGCGACTTGTATTTATTATATTTGATAATGTATCGATTTCTCTTACATAAACTTTATATAGGCAACAATCAATACCACGATAAATATTGATAATATTTATATGCGAATAATCTAGAAACGAGATGTATTACATATATTTAAATGGACACAACCCCACTGATTTGGGTTAACCGTGTCAGTAGTTTGGTTCTTTCCGTGGCATTATACACATTGGATAGTGTCCACGATCAGACAAAAATATATTGTCTATATGTAGGATCCAAATTTTCTGACATCTCTGTTTCTTTCTTTTAAAAGATGGAATGCTTCTTTATTTGAAAAAATTAAAATTAGACGTATTGTTTTTTGATTGAAATATTTTTTTCTTTTTTTTTAAAAATAGGAACAGGTAACAATAAAAGTCTTTTGACGTTATTAGGGAAATCATACGATTTTTGATGACCAATACACCGAAGGGTTGGAATCGTAATGGGCCATAATAGCGTGCCTTATTAATAGTTCCTGTGACTGCTATATAGATCAAATAGAGCGTATTAGTATAAGATTAGTATACAAGGTGTAAACAACTGTTTAGATACGGCTGTATGAAAATCTACAATACTGTAGTTTAGTGTATGAAAACAACCATTATATTCTTTGTCTGGTTATAGCTTAAAAAGTTACTCTTAACTTCATAATAATAATCACATGGTATGTATGAAATGAATGCAGTTCTTAACCGGTGTCTCATATTACATTCGTACTCTATCACTAAAATTCCATCTAGAAAAAGCGACGCAGTATTACAAAATGGGGCTTCATTTCTTTTCCGAACTAGAAAACCATAATATTATAATATCATTATAGACGTTTCTTTCCTTCACGACTTGGGCCTACATGTAACTTTCAAAAAAGCGATGTACAAAGTGGCTCATATAGAACACCATATTATAGAAGACTATGACGCGATTACTACAGAGTCTGAAGTTTTATCAACGATAGAGGCAAATAGCTGACTGTAGTTACCTACATATTTATACACAGTGAACTCATCTAACATTTAACAGGTGTTTATACTGTTACAGATTTTATATTGAAACATGTGGGAATATATTGAGGGTTTTTAGATAAGGTGTGTTTATGCTACTTATGCGAGTAAGTGTCTATATATTTATATATTTAAACAGAAGCTTGTTGAATATTTCGGGCTGTGTAGATTATTGAGGATTTTCTAGGCTTGTCAAGGTGTACTTTGCTACCGTTGTGAGTATAGTATTATCTTGTATAGAGTAGACTGCTAACAATGAAGTGTTGGACTTCGTAAACTTATATAGATTCATACATTTTATCATCACAACGGGTTATGTATTTATCCGGTGTTATTATAATATCATGCATGGGACAGGACAGGGTAGGCTACTATTATTTTAACTACCTGATCATACTACTTTATCGTGGAAAATCTGTTACTCTTGCATGTTTTCCTGGTTGGTAATCTGTCTGTGTTTACTATGCTTAGACTTGACTATTCCTTAGAATAGAAGGTACAATATTAAATAGTGATTGCATTTTATCGGACGTGTCTGAAAAGATTTATTTACATTTTTAGGAGTGTAAAGATATCGCTATAACGACCCAGAAATTTGTATTAAAGTTTACAACCAAGATTCCCTGAAATATTTATTGACAGAGAGATAGCTTGCTTTATGATCAGATGATGTTATTTACCCTGTAATTAACCATAATACTGCTGTTGTGAGGTAGTTCAGTCCAATAGGCGCCTGTTACGTGGAGAATATTTAAAACATAACATCTAGCTATTACTAATTATACTCGATTGTCTACCTAACAAAAATTAGTGAGTATTGCCACTGGTTTCTCACGTTGGTATTATTATATCTACTGAAAGAGAATCGGTTTCAGACGAGTTATTTGCACCTGAGTTAGAAATCGGAACAAACCAGTTATTTGATAATCTCACTTACGTACATGGATGTAACAGACTTTAGACATTATACTTAGTCATAGCTCAATGTTATTTTAGAAATATTTTCCACGTTACAGGCGCGTAGGCTGTGGTTCACTCCAGGTTTCGGGGGCGAGGGGACTCCATTCCACAGTAATCCCATTTTCATATCAATTTTAGTAATCGATTGCTTTAAAAAAAGTTAAAAAATTCAATTTAGGCAAAAATAAGTTGAAAGTTTGTTGATCTGTTGTGTTATTTTGATCGGTGAATTCTATAAGAATTATGTACAAAACAAAGCGACAGATCAAAGAGGGAGTGCCATTTTAAGTTATGTCCTCGGTAATGCAGGACCTGCGGGATGTATATGTAGACCCCCCCCCCCCCTACCCCCGGTCACCTAAAAACCCTGATCAGGTGGTTACAAATTGAAAGATAGTACAGTAATCATAAAGCTTGAAATCCATTAATACGAGCTGATAAATTAATAGTGGTGATTTAAAAGAAATATAAAATAAAAAAAGATTATTTTTTTATTGTGTCTTTGTGTAGCGGTTCAGAACAATCTATAGCTAACGTTATTTAGGTCGAAACATTTAATTTTATACCATCCATAATACGAGGTGACACATTAGTGTACCATCACCTGGTTTTATCACGGGAACATACATAAATAACTGTCATGACAAGTCGAGTGGTTTCTTCTTTCTTTAAATAATGCGAAGCTTTAAAAGCATTATATATACATGCATATATATATAAAAAACCTTATTGGGCTTGTTGATAAATTGTTGTCTCTATAATCCTTGAACTCTTTTGATCTGACAACCAGACGTTTTCAAAGCACACTTTGACCTATCAAAAAGCAAATGTGGTAATGTCAGAGAAATGTGGTTTATCGTTCTAAATATCATCATCAGAGATAGAGAGATATGTAGTCAGTGTGTATTTATATGTCTAGAAATAACGTGGTATATAAAACTATCGTTCATAGCTCATTGCATGTCGTATGCCCGCCTTCATTTTAACCTGGTTGGTGCACAGAAGAAGGACGTTAAACTCCATTTCACCCCATATTCCATACAATTGGCAATGGGGTAAAAATTGCCCGGACCGCGGTGTTTCCACCAACTTATTTGTCCAACTGTCAAGGTTTTTTTTACGTGCCCGGGCACGGGGACCGCGGTTTTTCGTCCCCCCGCCTTTACGAGTGGCTTATATATTCTACTGAATACATTAAAGGTCAAATTCGAGAAATCATTAAATACTATTATTTCAATCTTTTAGTACCAATATTCATTTCATTCGAATAAAACTTTTGAGTATATTTGGCCCATCCCCCCAAAAAAATAAAAATAAATAAATAAATAAATAGATAAATAGATAAATAAATAGATAAATAAATACATAAATAGATAACATGTTTATTGCGCCATTAAAATAGAAATGAAATGAAATGAAATGAAATGGGGTTTAACGTCCTACTGTTTTGCTCCGAACTGGGCTAATGAAGACGGCCATTAAAATAGCGTGTCCATGTAAGAGGAAAGTATGTAATAGGGATTGGGTAGAAATTATGAATGGTAGTTATAGGCTTCCAAAGATTGGTGCTATTATGTGTACCGCTCCAGTCTTATAAAATCTTTGCGTTGATTTAACATAATATTATTCAGGTAAGATTAATGTTAGTTGCATAGGCCTACTTTGTGAAAGATAATAATGATTTAAAAGAATGTCGAGGACTTATTACTCGTCTTCTTATTGAATGCAGACTTCAATGCATGTCCATAAACTAATACTAGTTAAGCATGCAAGTTTTTAATTTTAACAAATTACAGTAGAACGTTAAAAACCCCATTTAATTTTATTTCACAAATTAGTGTCACGGTAAATTAGTTACCGATTCATAATACCAAGCCTGGTCGGCATAATGATATTGAAAACGTTAGAGTTAGATGCATATTCATCTCCTTTTTGAATATAGACTTTATTTTCATATACAAAAAATACATGTTTTAAGATAATTAATATTTGCTATTTAATCATACAAGTTCGTAATGTATAAAATTATGTCACTTTTAATGTGTTAACATTTCATATTAGTTCTTTTGGCTTGTGGGGGGTTGGATGGCTGAATGGTTAGCGTGCGCGCGCTGTATCATAAAGTCTGTCATTGAGTCGACTGGCGTGGTTTCGAATCCCCGGTTGTACGTGGCAAGGAGTAGGATCGCCTGTCCATCCTCGTGGGTTTTCTCCGGGTCCTCCGGTTTCCTCCCACTGCTAAAGACCCCTACGCGCAAGCGAATTATGTAAATAAAAAATTAAACCATACGTTAGTCCCGAAATGACCTAGTTTGTTTGTCGAGTGGACGTTAAACCCCATTTCTCTCTCTCTCTCTTTTGGCTTGTACAATATTATTAACGTTAAATACATAGAAACTGAGATACTGGAGTGTAAGGATCGTAGTAGCATGATTAGAATCTTAATTACTTATAATTTATCGACTCTACAATAATTAAAATTAACTGGTATTTTAAAGTGGTTATTCGACTCTTTGATTAGTGGATTTCCCCTAATTGCAATATAAATTTCCTGTACATGTATTATAATATATTATGTGATCTATACATAAAATGACATGTACAATATTCCACGGGAATGACATGAATTCTATTTTTATTTTATATGTATAAAATCGATACGAGACAGTGTCTATTTATAGTGATCACGTTACACAATTATTGGAAATTCCATTATTGCTTAACTCCGTACCGTTTGTGCTATACTAAATATCATTTTCTAAAACAAGGATTAAAGTTGCCACATGTATGTATAAATTATACTATATTAGATTTAGGTTAAAACCAATTTAAGACACAACATTTACTACACTTCTTCATTGACTGGCGCACTGGTTCGTTTGTTTGGGCAAGGCGGAGTTCAATCCATCCATGTACGTAACCAAAGGGTCTCGTGTTTTCATCTAAACGACTAGACACGCATTTCCTTTCAGCAGTGGCGGAACCACCTCTGTTAGGTGAGAACCGGGCTTAACACATCCAGTTTGTTCTTCTCGGACCATCACACTACCACCACTGATAAGATTGGATAGGAAAGACATGTAGTTATAAGTCCACATCAACGCACAGATAAGAATTTTGCCCGGACAACGACTTTTCCCACTCTTCATTGCAGTCCAACTCAAGAGGGTTCTTTTAGGTGTATACGGGTGGATCTCGCGGTTTTCGAACCATCCGAACAATACTTGTCAACCCTAGGCAGTACCCTTGACAAATGGGAACAAGACCGGGGAATCGAATCAGGTGCATTCTAGTCTAAAAGCCCATTGTTCTTAGCGCTCGATTACCGTGTCACTCTGTTTATTTATCGGACGGTAAACTACTATTTCCGTTTAATATCGAAGTATAATATGTTCTTAGAGAAAATGATTCTAGAATAAAATTATAAGCTGATGTGGAAGTAGGAAGTTGTAAAAGTGAGATCAGTTTCTATTATTATTAACGCTAAAACAATATTCACTGTTTGTGGACACTTTCGCAGTAAAATAATAATATTAGCATTTCCGGAGAATTTTCAAGTTGACCGGCCTAGTTTCTTAAGGTCGTTTGTGTACATCCTTCTATATAAATATATATATCGTGTTGATTCGTTATTAAGATATATATTTATCTAACATATCTAATAGTTGTGCACCAGTCACTGATGTGTCGCCTATAGTAGGTGCAGTCCGTTTAATCTTTTAACTATGCTTATTTTGATTATTTCAGATTTGTTTGGGGCTGGTTCTGGAATCGCGACAAAGAGGTAAATTTCGTAGCATAGGGGAAAATTCTCAAATATACGAGGCTGTTACAGCGTAGGACTGTGGTAAACGGCTGATGTAGTTGTATCAGTACAATTGTTTTTTTTTGGAGTTCCGTGATTATTTTTAAAGTTTAGTTTCACATCCGTTTCTTGATCCCGGCGCCAACACAGTTACTTATATTCAAAGTTTCCTGTTGTTTAAATTGGTTGACATTGTGAATTATATTTTATGATTTACACGCACCGTTATAGTGCTCCATTTATACTGTGTGTTTAATATAAACATTAAAAGGTAAATTTATATTCTTAAGGATTGTAAGGCCTGCTGTGTTTCATGTTCGTTTCCTACCACAGACTTTTGTATTAGCAGTGTTATACGTGTATCATAACGCGTTACACTTCATTTACATTCATTAAAAGGACAAGTGAAGTATACCATCCCAAACGTATCTTGATCGAATCTTTATATACAGACATTTGATATTGAGACCGTCATGCACCCTGAGTTTGTACAAAGGTAGAAAAAGTATTTTCCATAGAAAAGAATTGTTGTTTGAAATTTTGATCACAGTTTTCCCGTTGTCGTTCAAATCAACAATCAAGATGGGTAACAAGTGCAGTAGTCGTAAACAGAAACCGAAATCAACCCACGAACTCAACATGGAAGCTCGTATGGAGCTGGTCAATACAAAGGAAAACGAAGTTAAATTCGACGATAACCTTTGTGCAAATGACTGTATGGATGCTTCGGTATCTAAAGAAAAAAATATTACTTTACGCCAAGCAGCTTTACGCAATCGGTCCATATCATGTCTTACAGAGACTGACCATCTAGCAATTGCCACAGATCCAAAGGATTTTGTATTTGATTTTGAAAATCTTGTTCTTGAAGGAGGAGGAAATAAAGGCCTGGCTTACTGTGGAGCTATAAAATACCTTCACGAAGTTGGGGTGATGAAAAACATCAAACGAATCGCGGGAGCTAGTGCGGGCGCCATGACAGCTGCTTTGATAACAGTAGGATATAATCCAGAAGAAATTGAGGATTTTTTGGGAAACAATATTTCTGACGTGTTCATAGATCACAGTTGTGGCTATTGCAGTCTTCTACCAAATCTCATTTCTGGATATGGGTGGAATCCTGGGAAAAAAATTTATAAGTGGTTTGGCGATAAAATGCGACTTAAGACGGGCAACCCGGATGTGACGTTTCAAGAAGTTTATCAACAATTCGGAATAGAGCTATGTGTTGTTGTAACAAACTTAAGTCTAATGACTACCGAGTATTGTCACCCGAAGACTACGCCCAATATGGCTGTACGCTTTGCTGTTAGAATGTCCATGGCCATTCCCGGCATGTTTAGTGCTACTAAATTCACGTCTTACGGCCAAACGGATGTATATGTTGATGGTGGCGTCCTCTGCAACTATCCCATTCATTGTTTTGATGGTTGGTATCTATCTATGGAACCGGGTAACAGTTTTATAGAAAAGTTACAACCATTAAGTGAATTGCCCCGTCTCTATGATAAAACAGAGCGATTCGGAACTTTTAATTCCAAGACTCTGGGTTTTTTATTATTTGCCGATAATGAAAGAGACATATTAAGATATAATTTAGAAAATAGAATTGGAGTTCTGCAGCCATTAAAACCATCTTCGTCAACCAAATTATTTGAAGAAAAATCAAAGAAGAAACAAATACAAGATAAACTTGCTGTCGAACATGGACGAGTCGTCAGAGCTGTTGATTCGTTTCTTAAGGTAAGAGTTTCGGTGATGTGTTTGTCCAAGGCGTAATCTGTAGAAATTGTTGCGATCCCACGCATGTCCGTGTCAAGGAGAATCGTCGCTTACCCATCCTTTAACCAAATGGTTCGCCCAGCTGCCAACGAATTATTGAAATAAAAACTATATATGCTCGTCCCGAAATAGCCTACAACTTTGTTGATTGTGTATGTGTGTGCTGTCCAGTCAAAATTTCCTTCACAGCACAACGCACAGCGTATGGGCCGTTTTATGAGCTGATGGTGGTTCTCTGTACAGTTATATATCCTCTCAATTTGTCTCTCGAATCATGTTAGAGGCCCTATGTCGGAGTAAAACAGGGAAAAATTATAGGTTCCTATAGGAATTTTTATGGCTGCGATTTTTCCCTCTGACTGGTAGATGCCCACGCATGAAAGCACAAGCTGACTACAGTTAATCTCATGAAATGAATGGGACAAATGCACCAATTAAGGATTACATCTGCAGCCGATAGATGGTAATTGTGTGTAATCCTGATGCTAATAGCTCTCAATTAAGAATATTTCAGCCAGTTGCTAGTTTTGTTAATGGCAGAATACGTCGGTATACATCACTGATAAGGGTCATTATGGTGACCACCCTGGCGTTGATGCTGACGTCATCTGCTGTTAATATAGCGAATAATTTGATGCCCATAACGTATGTATAGTCTCAAAAATCGCAGCTCGGGCTTGCTTATGTGAAAAGTTATAACAGTTTAAATAGTTATGGCTATTTGGCGACTATCTTGGATTTTTCCTTGACTTCATGCGTGTTTCATCTGGCGTTTTAGTTTAACAAAATGTTTGGCCCTAAAACCTAGATATAGATACCAAAATTGTCCCTTAACAGGAATAACAGAGGCGTTATGTCCAGTTATATGGAGTGTTGACCATCTCTTGAATTGTATACTTCCTTCTCATGATTAATAATGGCCACCCAATTAAGGGACATATAAACTCACACAGTATTATCCTTAATCGGCTGACAGACTAAACCTAATTGGTGTATAAAAATAGGACGTTAAACCTCATTTCATTTCATTTATATATTTTCAGGTACTCAAACGACATAACATAGATAACAATGACGATATAACACTAGAAGAATTAGAGAACGCCTTTAAAGATGAACAGCTGACAAAAGAAGAAAAGACTCTGTTATTTGGTAAAGATATCGATGTCCATGAAGCTTTTCAATTGTTGGATAACGATAAAAGTGGCCAGATTAAATACAGCGAGCTTATTCATTTTATCGAATCAACTGGTATATGTTTTCAGACCAGATTTTTAGGTTATCAGCGCAAGGACGTTAAAAACTTTGTGTCATTCCTTGATTCTCTGCAGTCAACTTTATTAACAAACGTTAAGAGGATTTATGTGGATGAGCGGGATATGGAGAGGACAGTGGGAATTAATACCGGCCATATTGGAACCACCGATTTTAAGTGTGAAGAAGCTGATCGCGAGTTCGTCGTTGCACGTGGTTATAATGCGACCAAATCGTACTTACAATATTGCGCTGCAACACGTGATCTTCCTAAATCTTCTCTCCCTAAGTCATGTTTGCCTGTAATAGCTGAAGCTACCAAACAAGATAATGACTTACCGTATGTTGACGCCAATAATGCTATTAACGAGACGACCCAATTTGTTCAGTAGAATTCAGTGATTCCCAATCTTTTCCCATTCGTGAACCCCTTTAACAAATCCCAGCCCATAAGGCATCTGTATGTATTTTATTCATTAAATTATATTAGGGACGTTCAGACTTCACATAACATATTCACATAAATCTTTGATAAACATGTGCCATATTAATCTGATAAAAATATTTAAAGTCATTCTGATAGAAACCAAGATGATCGCCATTCTGATAAAACCAAGATGATCACACCATTCCTATTAATGTGACCAAGCTACTGAAATGCATTGTCCGAATAACAATAATTTAATATTGAATTTTAATTAGCTATCTATTATTTCTCGAACCACCTCTTTTGCCGTGGAGGTCCTAAGGATCCCTTTGATTTTGCAGACCTCCCAGTTTATTTCACGTACCTGAAGACCAAAACATACCACAGATCATCATCGACCAACAGTTGAAACTGTGACTTTTTTTTAAGCTAGTCGATGATGTTAGTGTTACTGCTTGTAAATATCGTGTTCGCGCGATCAGAAATCTCGTACGTTCAAACTTGAATGCTAGATTTTAAACGCGATAAGCACTGTTGTTAGTGTTTTAAACTTTCGATTATACACCAACTTCACGATTTCACGATATGTGTTCATAGAATTAATATTATAGCCCACATTATTCACAACTTGTTATTTGGTGATCACCGTAATCACGATCAGTGATCACCAAAACAGAAGAAAGCAGAATACATATTAAATGATTATCATTCAACAATATAACAAGGATTCATTCGCTATGTTGATTTTATGAATATATTCGTCTTTTTAAATTGTATTGTGAATTTAGTATTGTACTAATAAAAGGTATACGTTCTAGTTTGGGATACGTTATGGCTGTTCCTAAGTTGTTTCTTCGGCTCAAAAAGCGTACTTTTTTGTATCGTGTTTTATGTTCTATTTTTGTATGGTAGTAATACTGAACCTGTACCGCTAAATAAAATAGTATTTTGTGCTGTATTGTTTGAAATGTTTCCCAGATAAATCACCAAAGGAAATAAATCACACTACTACTATGGAGATCTGTTTCTATATCCTACCACTACAGATATAATAGCTATATTTAAGATATCCTTATCCATAATCGAGGAATACGTTAACAGACCCCCCCCCCCCCATCCATTGCAGCTGTCCTAGTTATCTGTTTATTGTTAGAATATAAAAATGTAAAATGGGGTCGCCGTGGTTGTGTGGTTAGAGAACTGGTGCCTAGTTGGTGTCGTATATTTATCAAAGATTTCCTGCCAGTTATATTTCGGAAAAGTGGCGACCCTAAACAGGTAATTGTCGTATGTTAGACTTTAATGCTGTTTGTATATACATGCAAACTGACCCAGTCATCCAAATGCCGTTGTATTAAGCTGTCAATAATATTATAATCTCAATGTTGCAAAGACCGGTAGGTTTGGTTAGTTTTCTTCCTGTCTCTGCTGTTTATAAAATGTTACCGGACGCTGTTATGGTGTAATAGTGTTTTTGTATAAATCATGACTTACATCTATCCTGACTTGAACTGACCTTTACACTCGACCACGAGACACATGCACACAAGTTAAACATTATACCGTTTTTAGGGATAGTCTGTGGATTTAAAATTTACAAACGTGATCGGTTGCTCGCGAGGTTAAATTTCAAGAAAACGATTTATATCAAATTTCACCACAGAGATTGTAAAAAATATGTACAGATCCTTTGTTTAGTATTAAATCAATTCGTAATATCAATAAAATCAAAAATGTATTGGTGTAAGGGGTGCGTGTATAATGTGTGTACGTTCGCTGATCACGTTTCGTCGCCGCGATTCACCCCCAAATATGAGGTATCATATTAGCCAGCATGACCCCGTGAATGGTTTAGGTCATTGAATTTAGGCCCCTGCAGATTTGTGCTGCGCCCCGGGTGAACCACGCTTCCATGTCGCTCTCCACCCCCACAATGTGTATCAAATTAAACAGTTTGACCCCGTGAATGTTTTAGGTCATCGAATTTGGGCCCCGGCGAATTGGGCCTCGGGCGAATTTGGGCCCCGGGTTAAGCCGAGTATCCTGCAAGTATTAAATAAAATTCTTATTCGATCCCCACCAGATATAGGAACTTTTATATTTTGCGAATTAGAGAAAAGGGTTTTAAATTTAAATCCAATACTACTGTTTTAAACATAATCGCTTCTTCTCTTTTTTCAAAATAAATGCTACATACATAGTCACAATTTAAATTACATTCATTTTGATCCAACAATTTTTTAAATCGATTAAGTTATGACCACTTGATAAACAAACTTGAACAATTAATTATTAAAATAGATTCATCGTATCTTAAGTAATGACTGCTTAAGCTCACTGTGTCTCAGACAAAATAAAAATGACAGTTATTCTATCTTTGTTGTAGAAACCATTTCATTCTTCATTAGGTGTTTTTGTATACGCAGATATACATAATAACAACAGCTACATTGACATAAAATATATGTTTTTTTTTTAATTTTGAAATAAAAATGTGAAGAATATGGATTGTTGTGTCTGTAATATGAAATAAAATACATTAATCCATGAGTTAACGGTGCAATATATATATATATATATATATATATCTATTACGTATTTCCATGACAAACCCCCTTTGTTTTTTTAACACTAGTTATATAGTATCGTCGCCTCAATTGTATTAAAATGCTAATTTCTCAGGTAGGGGAGTTGGGATGGCCTAGTGGTCTAAAGTGTCACGTTTCGACCTCTATCTGACTGGTCACATCTAGCTTGCTGTTGTGGTTGCGATCCCTGGTGTGAGCGTATGTGGCTTGGAGATAGGGGCGCCTTCTCAGCCTCGTGGGTTTACTCCGGGCACTCAGGTTTACTCCCACAGGAAAGATCCCTGCGCGTGCACTAAGATAACACAAATGAAAATAAGACAACTTGTTTGCGATATCACCTTCGTTGGAAGCGGACGTTAATAACTGAGAACAACAACAAGGTAGAGGGCAATGGTTGTTCTATGAGTATGAAGCTGGCGCACCATGACCAAGCATGGTCGGGCTCGACCCAGTCTGGTCCTTCGTTGACAGTGGTATTGGACGCAGTACCTTACAATAAACACATGTACCTCTAATCCCTAGATCTTCTCACGGGCGTTAAAGATTCCCCGACAGAAGTCGACTCACTGACCTTATGACCCAGACATTAGAAACTTGATACACACTCTTATTTACAGATAAATTTGAAATATAGACAATCCCACAAAGTGACATCGCTGTAAACAAAATACAAGCTCTTTTAAAACAATGTTATTTTTAAGTATATTTTAATTCCTCTTATATTTTTGGGTGGTCTTTTCTACACACAAGATGTTAAAGAAACACTACCTCTTTAGGAGACACGCGGATATAATTTAACACCCACTTATCCGGACGAACCAGAATCAAACCCGGTAGTTTATATTTATTGAGTCAGAGTCACCGTGGCTCCTTATATTCTTGTAGATATACATCTTGCGTGTATTGACTACCACAACGGTTGCTTAGTATAGTCACAACCAATGTGGCTCCCTATGTCTTAGGTAGATGTACATTTCAAGTGTGTTGAATAGCAAAATCATCATCAGCCACTGTACTTGTTTCTTACCTTTCAGGTCGAGGAAGTTTCTTTGGATTTTCGAGCCTAGTTCCCTCATGTGGGGGGGGGGGGGATGAGCTAGACGTTCCGATGAAACAAATCCACCCGTGTACTCGTTGCTGTGTACTTAAAATTACCTTTGATTCCACAGATGAAGTGACAGTACATTGTCTCTTTAAGCCAAATATTTAACATATGGTTTTAATAGAATATTGGAACATGTATAATGGCGTCTTAATTCTATTCGAGTGCATTAAGTAAACATCTAGGGTATTATATATACTCGACATGACACGCCTAGATTATTTTATTCATATTGTTAGAGTTTGTTTACACGACTTTAAAACTCGGTAAACACAGGTTAACTTTTCAAGGGTTTGTATGAATAAAATACATATACACTCTTAAAGGAGCAGATCCGTTAGCCAGGAAACGTAAAGTGACTTATGAAAATATATATGCATATATGTTGCATATTTTTAACATTGGATGTGCTAGAAATAGATTGGATGCCAAATCAACCCTTGTCGCAATGTTTTAAGATTCATCAGATGTCGTATTTAAACAGACGTTCGTGGTGTTCAATTGATCCAGAGCACAGCTTTGCAATCATCATTCCACCAGTATTAGTTAAGGTTGGGGTTATTTTTATTATGATATGCTAGTTGGACTTGATACAAAATCTTGTAAAAAATGACAATTTTAGGATCAACGGCAGTATATTTTAAATCTCTAAATATTCCGTAAAATATAGATTATAAAAAATCTATTTTAAGAGATTTAAGATTTCCTGAACAAATAATAAACCAGGGCCTCGCTTATTCCGATCAAGTATGTAATTCCATTGGTTGTAGGACAACCCTTATACGATTAACTATTGGATATTAAATCAGTACCGGTAACTCTCTTCCGGGCAACATTTATAGGGCGCAGATGAAAACCGGAGAAAACCCACCAAAAATAAATAGTCGACACGTGGAGTCATGGACAGAACTCGCATAAAGAAACCTATGACGACTTCAGATAAGCTTTTGATAAGTGTTATAAATAGGATATTGATAATATTGTCCGTAAAATTAATTCGTAAGTACATGTAATTTAAATAATACAGTGCAAACAATGTATCTAACATTTGGTGCTCTGACAAGCGTTTAAACAAACAGATGGGGCAGCAAGGTTGTTCATGCAATTGTCGAATTACCGAAACTGAAAGTAGAATATTAGTACATTTCAACGTAACCAACATTCTTCTATGCCATACCAACAAGACAATAATACTAATGACCAATCAAACGTGAGAAAGGACTATAACTAGAAATAACTACATTCAAGGAAACTGATTGGAAACTAATAGTTTCTGTGTCCTGTTAAATTTGGAAGGAAGTTGCAATTACTGTCAGAACACTGAACTTCAACGGAAACTTGGCGTAATTATCTGTAAAATTATATTATGTCTAGAGTAGACACCATAACACGGGAAATGTCAACAATTGTATTGCATTTAAAATATAATACGAGCGTATTTTAATAAAGAACTGTTTATTTCATTTTTGGGATGGCCCAGTGAGTATGCCGCTGATTCACTAAAGAAGAGTATCTGGTTCGATTCTTGTGATGGACGAGAAAGTTCCACAAGCCTTATCAGGGTGGTTTTTCGTTATTAGTTTGAGGCCAAGGAACACGTTAGATTTCAGCAAATCGTTATGACTTTTGTTATTAAAATACACAACAGCATAGGCAGTTGATAGGGCACGGCATTAACAAAATAACGAAATCTAAGATGATTATCATGTTTTAGAATATATCTAAATGGACCTTTGTACCTTACACGCAACAAGAATAACCTTTTCTGACGGACCTCGGTTAATAAGAAAAATGCCGTTCGGATTTGACAGGAGTACACATTAACGTATACGTTATTGAACCTTTGAAGAATAATGTCCATTGGTTTAGTCTAAAAAAATCAAATCAAATCAAATCGAAGTATTGTGCAGGCGAAACATTAAGCATAATTCCATTTCTCCAAAGTGTTATTTCTCCTTTAATGCAAGTAGATATTATGATTTTCCTTTTGACGTTTACCTAATTCAAATCCTATTTCTTCAAAGCGATATTTCCTCTGTGATGCATGGTACATGCATGTTTCTATTTCGCTGTCACTAATTATGAGACATGTTTGCATAACTAGTTAAATTTTAACCCGACATCAACTTGTCCAAGTAGTTACATCAGTTCTTTTTACAATTAATTATATAAAATATGACCAATACTTGAAAGAAAACGAGCAATATTGTTATTTCTTTTTCTTTTAAAGAAGAGAACCCCGACGAAAAAGCAACATAAAAACT